TCTGTAAACTGAGTTGTGAAGTGAAAGTAAAAGTTACTGTCGTGTCTGACTCTTTGAGACCCCATGGACTATACAGGCCATGGAATTCTCCAGGCCAGAATACTGGAGTGGGTAGCCATTCCCTTCTCCAGGGGATCTTCCCAATCTAGGGATCAAACCCAGGTCTCCCACATTGCAGGCAGATTCTTTACCGGCTGAGCCACAAGGGAAGCCCAAGAATATGGGACTGGGTAGCCCATCCTTTCTCCAGCAGATCTTCCCGATCCAGGAATTGAATTGGAGTCTCCTGCAGTGCAGGCAGATTCTTTACCAGCTGAGCTATGAGGGAAACTGAGTTGACTCATTGGAAAAGACCCTGATGCTGGGAAAGATTGAGGGCAGGAAGAGAAGGGAGCAACAGAGGATGAGATGGTTGGATGGCATCACCAACCTAATGGACATGAGTTTGAGCAAACTCCAGGAGATATTGAAGGACAGGGAAGCCTGGAGTGCTACTGTCCATCGGGTTGAAAAGAGTTGGACATGACTTAATGACTGAAAAACTGTAAACTTACACCAGTAGAGATGAGTTAGGACCAGAGAGGTTTTCAGGCTGGGCCACCGGTTTCTGTTTGCAAAAGGAGTTGATCTGATTTTGGTTTAGCAGCTGAAAGACAAATAGCCTATCGAACAAACCCCAGGTAGATTTCAACACCCTTTGGTGACAGTGGCATTCAAGAATGAACACAGTCAGACACTAGGATTTTTCATATGTCGTTTATTTAAATCAAAATCAATTTATATTTTCAAGGGGCTGGATTTCAAAGCCATAAAAAGAAATTCAAACCATTTTGTTCAATACCTATCTATAAAAAACAAAATTACATTTTGTGGGAGGAGTGGACCCTGTAACATAGGAAATTTCTTCATTGAAATTCAAATTTTTGCATGCAAAACCTAATTTCATTTTTGGGTTGGCTGAAATGCTCAAGGAGCCCTGATGAAATATCAGAATTTATTAAAAGTCAAGAAGTATAATCACGGTTCAGACTACGTGGTCAGCTGTTAAAAGTCAAGAAGTATAACCACGGTTCAGACTATGTGGTCAGCGCGTGAGCCAAGGTAGTGAGATCTTTGCAACCTCGCCTGTGTACAGCCACTTGATCTCTACTCTTCTGAAGCATTTTCAAAAGTACATTGTGTTATTTTGGTGACTAGCACAGATTCTTGCTTATGTATAAAAATTGGACAAAATGGCTTATTTGCTTAACAATGTCCAAGTCTGTTGCATATAGTGTGGTGGCTCTGCCCAAGAACCTGGTGGGAGGGAGTACTGTGGACACAGGTTTCAGAGTTGTGGCATTTTCAGATCATTGCAAGTCCACTTTATAAAGTGTTCTAATTTACTTTGTTTTTGGTGAGTCTCTATTTTTGTGTATAAAGTAAGGTTTACAGATATAACGTAGATGAAAACCAGGGGAGATCAACAGTGGCAGTTACCAATTTTAAATGTGGGAAGAAAGATAAAGACATCACAGAAGACAAAGCTAAATGGAAGTTTGGATTTGGGGCTTAAATTGCTCACTTAATAATTGTGTCATACTGGGCGAGTTACCAAAACTCAGGGAGTAGTTTTTCATTAGTGCAAGGGTGAAATGAAACCCACAATGCATTATTCTGATTTTCCCTACCCTGGAGAACTATGTAGGAAATAAAACTGACATGTTTGGCAAGATACGCACGTGGGTTAAAATCTATACAGATTTGCACCTGTTTGACAAGCTGATATAACTCCTTTGATAAAACATACAGTCCCTGACCTGAACCTTTCAGAAGTGTATGATCATCACAGTAAAAGGACTTTTAGTTTTCTGTATTTAAATCCCTTCCATAAGGGACAAGGTCTACCCACAAGCTCACAGGTACTAGAATAGGTGCCGTTACAATGAAAACCAGAATGCTATGCTTCTGCACTGCTTAATTACTCCCCCAAAGACAATTACTTCTCTTCCGGAAGAAGCAGGACTCTGTAGTGAAAACAGAGAGACCTGAAAGCAGTGCATTAATTATTTTATTAATTTCTTTTTACATCATGGGAAACATTCATCTATTTACAATTATTTTTTTGTCCGCACACAATCTAGGTATATAAGCCTATGAAATTCCAATTCATAAAGCCATAAAAATGTTCCCCACCCCTCCATCTGAAAGCTTTCAAATGAATCTTTTTTTTTTTTTCCAAACCAAAATAATTTTTAAAAATTACATTTGGGAATTCAGATATGCTAGTGATTTACATTCCAGTTATTTAAAATATGCATCTAGACATGTTTTAAAAAAGAAATGGTAAATTCACAAGGATAAGGCTTAAATTAAAGTGGTAATGCACAGTAAAACATTAAGGAAACATCTATAAATAACAGAAATATAGTACAAATAAATTAGTTCTATTTACCATTTCAAATATTAAAAATCTTTAATCCATTTCTTCATCTCTCTTTACAAAAAGGTTATGTGAGTTGTATGGAAACATCTGCAAAAAATATAATAAATACTTAATTTCTTTGAACGTTTTTTTGATGTGGGAGACAAACTTCTTTTGTAATTCCCCCCTCCCCAAGAAAATACCCAAACACCTTTGTACCAAAGTTAAACAAAATAAGTAATTTTTCAGGGTACATACATTTTCCATTATTAACTAAAAAACATTTCTACAAATTACATCAAAAAGAACAATGTAACAAGGGTTATGCTCATGGATGTCAGGCTTAACAGGGCAAGTGATCAACAAGCAGTTTTATGTGGGGTCATGTCTTAACATCAATAATTAGCTTTTTATAAAGTGTTTGTACAATTGGTGTTTTCAAGGAAGGCAAAGGTCATGATGCCTGTAGGCATTCTGCTAAAAGATTTAAAATTCTTACCAAAAATAGCTTATGAATATACAAATACCATTCATGTAGACAAGATAAATAGGCCACCTCTTGTCTCTCTTAAAATATCCTGGGCTAAACCAGTTTCCAAGGAAAATATTGTAGGATGATCTTTAGAAATCTATTTCTCCATCCAAATCTTATCTCTCCCTCAGGGCACAGAGCTGTGGATAGGAACATGGGTCTTCAAATGGATGCTGTTTCCTTCAGGTTAGTCTGTGAGTTCTGAGTCACGTCATGGCTGAACATGACCATAGGCTACCCAAGGTGGCAGTTGGCCTTACCTGACGCAAACTTTGTGTGACCTTCCCCGGCTGCTACAGAGTAAAGAAAACGTGTATTCTTTTAAAACCAGAAAATACTTGAAGCTTAAATTCTCTATCTGCTCCAATTTTAAAAGTACTCAAAGGTGCTTTGTCCACTCTAGTTAAAAGTTGGTTTGTTTTTAAATAAGTTAGTAGCCCTTTTCTTGTAAACCACAGCAGTAAACATTTGTGCCCTGTTTATAAAGATAGCTCAAAGCATCAATGGCTCTGAGAGGTAGCGAATTCTCTAGTGGTTTTAGAATATGTCCATGAAAATAGTTGTTGCCAGAACCCATCACTTCTCTTAATTTTTAAAATAAAATTAGCACCTGGCTATGAGAGTCTATTTTTTTTTAAAGCGTCTCTGGTGCAAGTGTATCTGATATATCTTTTTAAAAGTCTTTCATTTTTCAATGGTAATATCTAACACTTTAGGGAGCTGGATAAAATGCCAGTGATCATGTAAGATCACCTCATTCTAAGTGTTTAAACTGCTAGGAGTAAGGGCATTTAAAGATAACTTCAGCTGGCCGCAAAGGTCATATGCCATCCATCATGACTAAAAACAAAAATCAACCTTCTCTGCCAAATCCCTGGGTCTCTTCAATGTTTAGGAACCGCGATGCTATCCCCCTCCACATGGCTGCTGAACCTTGCAGGTCAAATTTCTTTTCTTTCTACTTGGGACCTCAAGATGAGTGGCTGCTCTTTGAAATGAGACAGCACGTCTACTGGGACAGAAAGCTTATTTGATGGGTTTGACACAGGACAAAATCCTGATACGGGGGTGTGATAGGACTCTGGAGCAGTGAGGAAAGACTGATGGAGACAAATGTCTGCCCTATGAACTACTGGGTTAAAAGAGACCAAATGCGTAGCGTTCGAAGGGGATGATGGGAAAATCCCGACTCTTCTCAGAAAGCAGGCCGGCTGCCATTTACAGCACTTGGTAAGCAGAGATGTACTTCTATCTGTGTAATTAGGTAGGCTCCCCCCTCCCCTAGATGGACACTAACAAAGTAATGGAACCAACACTTTCCCCTTTAAAGACCTCCCCCCGCCCACCACCACCACAACAATATAATATACATAGTACAAGAAAAGTTGAGAAAACACTTCAGGTCTAAATTGTCTTAAGAATAGGACAAAAGAAAAAAATCCCTTATGTAGTCTCTTAAGCTAGCAGTGCTTCCTTGGTCTTGCCTTTCCTGTCTTCATTTTATTGCCTTTCGGAATAGATGGATGTCCCTGAAAGATCAAATTGACAATCTTCTGCTGAGTGAGACGTTTGAAGCAGTGACTGATGACACCACACTGAGGCAGTTTGTGCAGCTGTGAGCGACGCCGTACCCGCACCCCACCCCTGCCCCCGGCACCTGCAGACTTTGCCTCTCTTCCCCACCCACCCCGCACACATCCTGGTCCCCCCCGCGCCCACCGCTCTCTGGTGACAGGGTGTGATGTCCGAGGCTGGACATCAAGCGCTCCAGTCTGCTCGCCCAAAATAGGAAGCGTGTCGGGGAAATCAAGGGGATCGGAGCCCTAGTTTCTTTCGCGTGGAAGACGGCGAGGTCCCTAGGGACCGCCCCCCCAGGGCGGGATCCTGGATGTCTGAGATACCCTACGGTTGGATATTGCTGGAATCTAGGGACGGACTAGCTCGAGGAGGACGGAGGATGGATGGCGGGTGACCTAGAGAGGGGCCGCGTCTACGCGGGTGGGCAGGCGCCGGGGAGGCGGCGGCGGCGGCGGCGGCGGCGGCGGGGGCGCGGCGGCCGGGGCCTCAAAGCCGGGTCTGCGCCTCGGGGATGTAGATCTCGATGCTCTCGGCGCTCTCGGTGGCCGAGTTCTGACGGACGGACGCGGCGCGCTTGGCGGCCATCAGGCGCTTGCGGGCCTCCTGGCGCTGCGAGCTCTCCAGCGAGCGCTCCCGGATCAGCGGCGCGGGGCCCTTCGCCGGCTTCTTGGGCACTGGAGGAGGGGCCCTTCGCTCCTGATCAAAGCAGAAGGTTCATGACATTACACAGCTTCTCAGGACAAGCTTGGGGGAAACTGGGATAGGTCAGTAGTTAGCACACATTTCTTTCTTTTTAAGCCTAAGGGTGGTTAAGTTAGTTCTGATCTGCACACCGTATACATATTTACATATATATATATATATATATATATATATATATATGTATTGGAGAAGGAAATGGCAATCCACTCCAGTATTCTTGCCCGGAAAATCTCATGGACAGAGGAGCCTGGCGGGCCACAGTCCATGGGGTCTCAAAGAGTCAGACATGACTGAACGACTGAGCACATAAAATGTATATATTTTTTTCTTTAGTATTCTGGCTTGGGTTTTCAAAAAGATGCATGAGGGTAAAAAAATACTGGGAAGTTTAAGGCCAAGGGTCAACCTGGAGGGCAGAACTAGTCTCTCCAAGGGAAGGATATGGGTATTTAAAATCTAACCAGCCCCCGCCCCCTGCCCCTCACGTCACCTAAAGGCTGCAGCTTCCAGCATATTTACTGTGGTTTTTCTCTGGAGACGCCAGACTCTTCCGGATGCCAGAGATGGGAAGGAGGGGGCAGCGGTCGCCTCTTAGATTCTGCACCCCCTCTAAGCAGGGCGGCAGCGTGTGGGTGCCAGCTGGGTTCAGAGTTTAAAAACATCCCTGCCCTCTCCCCGGAGCCCACCCAAACCTAAACAGCCAAACGAGGAAGAAGCGATTGTTAAAACTGTGTTCGTTTAGCTTTGCTGGTGTCCCGGTGACTTACACCCATTTACACATCACACACAGACACACAGAGATGTACTCGGCAGGGTCACCCTGGAGGGAGGACTTGGACAGTTCCTACCCTTGGGGGTGTGGAGTCAGCTCCTAAAACATCCTGCTGGACCATCACGAATTAAGGGCCTCGGGGTGACCTTGGTGGCCCTGAAGGCTATTTCATCATAGGGACAGACATTGTGCCATGACATCTGAACACAAGACTGAAAGAGTTCATCCCCGCTCCCCTTCCCCACACCCCCACAACCCCCAGCAGCAGCAAACTAGAAAACGGTGGGCTATTTTTAAATGCCACTGCAAAAACAAAAATCATTCATCACTGGAAAAAAGAAAATACAGTGGGAAAGGGAATCTACATCACAAAGGATTTTTAGGAAAAAGATAGTGAGTTTTCAGGCTGCAAAAAGGTCCATGTGAATCTGATGATTTCATCTTTTAATAAAATGCCTTAAATTCTCATAAACCTAAATGTGACAAGTATCTTAAAATATGGATTCCATGATTCTCCAAAGGGCACTCTCTGTGTCCCTCTTTTGCTGGCCTTCGTGAAGTGCCTAGTTACCCTTACTGCAGTGGAGTTGCCCGCGGTTGTTTAAGGTGGAGTCTCGAGTGGATTAAAAAAAAGGAAGCACAGAGTGCAAACTGTATTCCACCAACTCTGATTGCATTTGTTCATTGTTTCCCCTCCAGTTCATGGGGTGATGCAAAGCTCTGATCATAGATACCATGCATGAAGATTTAGAAATCAAGTTAATAATGATTTACCTTATAACTATCACTAGGTACCATATATCAATTCTTAGTTTCACTCCTTTTGGACATTTAAATTCTTCATGATTGGGTCACTCAGTAGATACTTTAGAAAGTGCGATTGTTGAAAACTTTTTAGTCATATTTTCCTTTCCTTGCATAGTTTATTTTTTTTAACAACAATTTAAAAAAATTGGTGAATGAGAAATTAGATGGATCAGCTCTAGAAAATCAGTTACCAGTATGTGTGTACATCTGTAATGTTTTCTTAAAACCAGACCAATTTAAAAACTTGTTTAGCAGACAGTTTTAAACCCAGATTAAAGAAAACTAGAATGAATGCAAATGTTTGGCTACCCCAGTGAGAGGCCACACAGGCATCAATGGTACTTTGATGTTTCATACCAAAACCCGCCAGGTGGATGGTGACCAAATTAGAGATGAGGGACAGTGATGAGCGTGGTGGCCCCTTCAATTATGCACCGGCCCTTAGCACTAGATTTCTCCTGGGAGCCCAGGGACTCCAAGAACTCTTGATATTATGATGGGCAGCAGCAGAATGGACTGGACTGATAGGTGAAAGGATCAGGAAAAGGCATCACAGAAATGGCTGTGCCTGACTCCAGAAGTTCGACCTCTCAGAATCATTTGACCTCAGGCTGTAGGAAAGCAAAGGGTTAAAAATGTCATGCATCTGCGGTCAGCCTAAGAGGGTGGACATTGGATACCTGGGCAAGCCTGGTGGAGCCATCGTAATCAAATGTGAAAACTGCAGTTTATTAATTCAAGTAAAAGAATTTGATTCTTTATTTCTAAGCTCTTGCATGAGGAACCCAGTGAGCAATACTCCCCAAGGCAAATCAACCAAAGGTAAAACCTTTTTTTTTTAAAAAAAAAGATCCCAGCATTTATGATTACTGTGAAACTATACGGTGTGTATATTTTTAGACTTGAACAACAGTGGTTTCTTTATTACTATATTTATGAAATGATTATCAAAGTCGGCTAGTTTGCAGGGCTTCCTATTTTCTCGGAAACACGTTCTAGGGGTGTAAGGAAGTTGAACTCTTGCTCTATGTAATCATGCACTGAAGATGTCATTTATTTTAGTTTAAAAAGCAAAATGGAGGCAGTTCCTTCCAGTGACTAAAATGGTTTAACTTAAAGTTTAATTAACAAAAAAAAAAAGCCACATTCCCATTTTCCAATTCACAGACAGGTTTTTCTTTAAAAATATGCCTGAAACATATTACAGATAATATCCCAAATGATTACTATGTAAACATTGTCATTACAATGAAATTAATATGATTTCAGCTCCATTTCACATTGTAAACAGCAAGACTGAGAGCAGAAGCCTATTTAGACTGTCCAGGGTTTGTGCAGGTTTTTAAATGAACCATACAAAATCTACATTGTTCTACCTTCTTGTCAAGAGGATCCATCTGTTTCCAATTATTGGCCTTTAACTGATGAAGTTCATCAAATTTCATACTAATGTTTTCTATGGACAACTGCAGCATGTCCCAGAACCCCGCCAGATCCTGAGAGGTGGGCCTTGGATGAGCATTGGGATTCTGTGCAAGAGAAAGAAAAACAGTCACGCTTTAGAAGCGATGTTTTTGACAAGCCCAGGATCAACGTGGCATTTTCAAATACTTCAAATAACAAAAGGAGGATGAGTTCCTTTTAGTTAGGAGAGAAAAGTGAAGTTAGTGATGGTACTGTGCTGTGCTGTGCTTAGTCGCTCAGTCGTGTCCAACTCTTTGCGACACCATGGATTGTAGCCTGCCAGACTCCTCTGTCCATGGGGATTCTCCGGGCAAGAATACTGAAGTGGGTTGCCATGCCCTCCTTACTGATGGTACTTTTATTTGTTTATTTTATATAGTTATATGTATATATGTTTTATGGGGCTTCCCAGGTGGCACTAGCGGTAAAGAACCCACCTGCCTCGGCAGGACACATAAGAGACAAGGGTTCGATCCCTGGATGGGGAAGATCTCCTGGAGGAGGGCATGATAACGCACTCCAGTATTCTTGCCTGGAGAATCCCATGGACAGAGAACCTTGGCAGGCTACAGTGCATTGGGTCTGAAAGAGTCGGACATGACTGAGTGACTGAGCATATGTGCATACATTATATTTTTATATATATATATATATATCTCCATATATTCACCTTTATTAAGGACTAATTGACAAATAAGATTATAAGATATTTAGCATGTACCATGTGATGATTTGATATAGACACACCCTGCGTAAGGACTTCCCCATCAAGATAAGCAGCACATTATCACCTCACATCTTTATCGTTTTTTGTGTGTGTGAGAACATTTATCTTCTACTCTTTCTTAGCAAAGCTCAGTTAGACAATACAGTGTTATCAACCATAGTCACCATGTTCTAATTAGGTCCTCAGACCTCATTCATTTTATAGCTGAAAATCTGTATCATTTTACCAACGCCCCCTCCATTTCCCCTACCCCTGAGCCCTTGGCAAACACTTTTATACTCTCTCTATGAATTTGGCTTTTAAAAAAGGAAAAAAGATTCCACTACAAATGATAATTTTATATAATCATTTTAGACACATTTGAGTCACTTATGCTCAATGTCAAGGTAAAATTCTTTTGTAATACAGCATCTATCAGTATGGTATGGTGGGGCATCTAAACATTTGGAAAAAAACCAGAATGTGTGATGTATGCCAAAATGCATTTAAAACTATATTTAAATGAAAATACCATATTACCAAAAAATACACTCCATTGTTATTAGAGTCAGTATTTGACTCCATGGCATCCAACATACTCAGAGAACAGATAAGGAATCTAAAGTAAGATTCATTTTAATACTTACGTTGAGTGAAATAATAGGGCAAACAAGTGATAAGTAATAAAAGAATTAGATTTTCAAAGTATTGTGTGTTTAACAATTAAGATATTTCTAATAGGAAGACATTTTATCATATAAGTACTTGGACATAATCATTTGGAAATGAATTGGTTTTAAATTGACCATAACATAATACGGCAAATGTGAGAACACTTGGCTGTACATACACATAGATTTCTGTGCATTTGCTAGATAATATTAAACATTCTTTGATGTCTGGATTGACTTTCTTTGCCCTCATTCACATATCCGTGACAAACACTAGCGAGTAGGAACCACTAATTTATATGATCTGAGACAGAAAAACCATAACTAAGAGACTGAAGGTATTACTACCGGCAACAATCGCTTAAAGGTATTCATGGGCAGATAGCTGGGGCTCATACTTATCAGAGGTTTCTATTGAGGTTCCATTTGGTTACCTCTGGGTATCCCAGGCAATTGGAAAGACTGTGAAATCTCATGCCATATAATAACTTGAGGCCCGTTCTTACTTTTAAAACAACCCTAAAGAAATGACATCATCGGAATTTCAGAAAGCACAGGGTCAGTGACCATCAAAGTAAGTAGACTGGAAAAAATGCTTTTAAGCCTTTTGATGGATGAGTATTATTGGTCTGACTTCAAAATAAATACAAGAATGTATTTATAAACTTATACTTTTAAAACTACCCATAGTTCATTGGAATAAATAAATTCTAAAATTTGTAAGTATTTGGTTCACTGTTAAACTCTATTCCAGTGACACCTGAATTAACAAGAGGGCTTCTCTGTAGCATTTTGATATAGTAAACTAGAATGTTTCTTAATATCTAGGTTCAGAATAGACAGATAATAACTGACAAAGTACTTGTCAACTGGAGTTTTATGATCTCACAATATATTACCTTATCTTATTTGTAATTAAAAGCTAAGTTGCTCATACCTTGAAGTTCACTAAAGCCTTTTAGGTCACAAGCCCTGTTGTTAAACTGTGTTAGTGCATTAATAGATAGAATGATAGCATTTAACTCTGTAGTAACACGGGAAATTTGTTCCTTCCCCACCAAGAATCTCTTTGCCCCCTCATCATCCAAGGGATGAATGGGGAAGCAGAGAGAAAGTGTCTGGGTGCTCAGCCAGTCTCTTAATCAGTGACTCCTGTGACACCCAGCACAAGAAGTAGTTGTGAAACCTGCCTCAGTCTGAATCAGGTCACTTGGAGGTCAGAGGTGATAGAGGATGAGAAAGATAAGGAGGGCCAGTTTGAAAAATATGGCTTTATATGAACTTTTTAAGGAGTTAAAGAATCATACGAATTAAGATCTGAGATACGTGAGCAAGTTTACAAATTAGAAGGAATTCTGTACCTGACACATAGTGAAGCTCAATAAAATATTTGTTAAATCACTGATCAATACATTTACTAATATATATTATCTCATAATTCAGAATATAATTTCTGAGAAGGTGAAAGAAGGGCCAGGTCATTTTTGCTGAGGAAGGGGAAAACAAACTATAGGTGTGGGGGTTGGGGGTGAGGAGGCAGGAAAGAGAGGTTTCAGAAAGAAAAGCCTGGTGAAGGGGGACAAGAGCACTGACTTGTGCAGACTTTATATCTGCTCTTGGTTGAGTCTTGTCTAGACAAATCCCATTCAGTCTGTATTTGTCCTTGTTAACAAGATGTGGTTAGAATGCTAAAAAAAAAAAAAAAAGAAAAAAATCATCGTTTGGGTCAATCAGATCACAAATGATTGTGTTTTGAACTTTCCAGAAGATTAAAAGAATTGCTTTTCATTTTCTTTATTTTAGATGCAGTTTCCACCCCTGGGTCGGGGGTATCCTCTGGAGGAGGAGATGGCTATCCACTCCCGTATTCTTGCCTGGAGAATCTCATGGACAGAGGAGCCTGGCAGGCTACAGTCTATAGGGTCACAAAGAGTTGGACGCAACTGAGCGACTGAGCACACAGATGCAGCTTGATCATTAATGGCCAATAAAAGCTATTTTTGTGGAATGACACTTGTGGAGATGGCAGAATTAAAAAAAAAATGTGAGGAAGCTCTTGGCCTTGCATTTTGCTGACAGTTTTTAAAAAATGTTGTTGTTGCTAATACAGGTTTTGTCTGTTCTGCTTTATTTCATTTCTGTGTATCCAAGAAAGATGAATGATTCGTTGTTCTCATGGAGATCAAATCTACACTTTCTGACACATTCCACCTCCAGTTCTTGAATTAAAACAGAGCACTCTGATAAGGAAAAAGGACCCAATGGCTACTTCAGAAAGAAACTCATTATCCAAAATGATTTTTTTCTGAAATATTATTTTTGAAATAGCAGGCTGCTCCAATTGGGTAAGAATAATAAAATCAGGAGGCCAAGAAAATAGAAAATATTCAGCAACCAGAAAAAAAAAAAAAAGGAAATGGAGTTTTAACTTGATAACTTGATTGGATTCTTCGAAGATAATTTAATATTTTTTTATTATTTTAAAAGATAAATATTTTTAATTTTAAGAAAAGCAGGAAATATATGATTCATTGGAAAATTCTCTCTTTCAGGTTAAGAGAGTCCAATGAGCCCTGGCTTGGTTCTGCTTCAGTTGAACTGGTCTTGACCACATGTTCTCACGGGGAGGAGCAGGGAAAACTAGTATTGACAGGGAAAGATACTTACCAGGTTTTCTTCACACAGTTCTCTGAACTGGTAGAATTTCTGGGCCATAAGAAGTTGGGCACTGCCCACTGCGGTTCGGATTTTCCCTAGAACTGAAAAAAGCAAACAGACAAGAAGTTTACACATGTCTCATTGTTGAGACTTAGTCTGGCTAAAGCAAAGAGGAAGTTGCGCTGTAGTAAATTAGAGAAGACCGCACGCAGACCGCACGCGCGCACACGCACAGAGCCAGATCGTGCCGTCGCTCTGCGCATCTATGCAACAGAGACTCCTGAGTTAAAAGTGGAAAACCAGCTTGGAAAAACCCACGTGCTTACCAGGCATCTTTCTTAGGGATAACGGAGTTTTCCATCACAGCCCTGGATGTTACCAGGAGAGGAGGCAAATACTTCTGCTTTGTTTTTCCCTTTTACTGCAAGGATGAATTTCCAGTGTTTACCAGTCCAGTTAGGGATTTATTTGTGTCAGCAGTCATGGTCTGCTAGCTTGTTTTTCTAATCCGAAACCAAACACAAGGAAAGCAGCCCTGACTTGCAGGCGGGTAGGGATCTCATGGCACTCACCAAATCCCATCCACAGCCTTCCTTATTTTCCCGAAGCTCAGCCACTGGGACTGTCAGGAAAGAGCGAGCCTGGCCAACTGAAAGATTTTGTAAGGAGCGAACATTTTCAGCCCGTTGCCTAGGGAACGCCAGCACTGTCCCAGCTTTTACACTCCACGGACCAACATTATTGTTCAGAGAGGTTTAATTCCCTGTGGTCTGTGCTGAAAATCCTCCCCTTTGCAAGCTACTTCCTGCCTTGAGTGAAGTCGAAGGGGAGAACCTTCCAGCAGTGGGCGAGCTGAGCATCCCTGAGCATCTCTGAGCATCCCAAGCTCCGGATTATCCCAGAGGCGCTCGCTCTGCCTGGTGGGGACTGCGTGGCTGGAGCCCGGCCACCCGCCACTGCCACCGGGCAGGAAGGAAGGGGAGACGACGGAGCAGCAGGGCCTCCCAGGGGCACTTGCCCACTTGAATTTCTTCACTGGGCCCGGTCGGGGGCGGGGGGGGGGGAGCGGATTTTATGGCACTGCAGCAACATTTTTGCTGCTGTAGTTTTGCTCTGACTTTACCGTGCCTGAGACTCACAGTGGAATTATATCTCCTTTTCTTGACCCCATTCCCCACAAAGACTGAGAAGACAACAGAAGGACAAGCAATATCGTTTGGCTCAGGGTTTCCTGGTCAATAGCTTCTCTGTTAGTTTAAGGCTGCCAGGCTGGATAATGGTTCCGACGGGCCACCACTGGTCTCTACCCAAATACTTCACACACGTTTCTGGGTCAGGAAGATCCTCTGGAAGAGGGCACGGCAACCCACTGCAGTATTCTTGCCTGGAGAATCCCCATGGACAGAGGAGCCAGGCGGACTACAGTCCATAGAGTCACAAAGAGACACAACTGAAGTGACTGAGCACGCACACACACGTAACCAGGGCATCTCTGGACTTAGGAAGTCACCAGTCACACCAGGAGGCTGAAGTGCAGAAACCACCTCCCTAGGGAGAGCTGGGGTCCTCCTTGAGAGCATCTGGCACAATTCTTCAGGCCTAAACGTTGGAGTTTTTCAATCTATCTGCTTTTAAAATATTTGGGGATGGTTGCATTTTCCTCTTTAATTCATCCATAATGTCTGTGAGGCCTTCCTCCCTTTTCTTTTTTAATTAAAAAAATTTATTGGAGTAAAGTTGCTTTAAAATATTGTGTTAGTTTCTACTGTACAGCAAAGTGAATCAGCCATACACATACATATACCCCCCTTTGTAGATTTCCTTCCCATTTCAGGTCACCAAAGAGCATTGAGTAGAGTTCCCTGTGCTATGCAATAGGTTCTCATCAGTTATCTATCTTATACATAGTGTCACCTCCCTCCATCTCTTAGCACCCCAAAGCAGAAAGGACATGGGGAAACAGGGTACTATAGAAGCTAAAGGGTCAGGCTCTGAGCTGGCTGAGGGTCCTCTCTGGAAAACTTAGCATCCATTGCTCTGGACAGGTCACCTAATCTCTGTTTTCTTATATGTAAAATGGGATCGAACCCAGGTCTCCTGTATTGCAGGTGGGTTCTTTACCACCTGAGCCACTGAGGAAGCCCCATTTTTTTTTTTTTTTTTACTGTATGTGGTGGCAATTAACTTTGCAGGGACTGGGCTGGCCCTCAACGCCAAGGCCAAAACAGCCCCAGAGGAGGCTGAAAAGACATGTGGCATCTCTATAAACGCTGCTGCAGGGACAGTCCATGGGGAGTCTGGGAACTCATTCATTCACTTAGAAATACTGGGACTGGAAGCAATCAAACACCCAGTGCTTCCTGACTATGCCAGCTCCCCCATTAGCATGTCAGAACTCAGAAATAGAGCAGAGGGCTTCCCCGGTGGTGCAGTGGATAAAAATCCACCTGCCAAAGAAGGGGACATAGGTTCCATCTCTGGTCTGGGAAAACTCCACACGCAGCAGAGCAGCTAAGTTTGTGTGCATCACACTGCTGAGCCCGTGTGCTGCAACTACCGAAGCCCACACAGACCTAGAACCTATGCTCCACAACAAGAGAAGCCACGGCAATGAGAAGCCCAAACACCACCATGAAGAGGAGCCTCTGCTCGTCACTAGAGAAAACCCGCACAGCGCAACAGAGATCCAGAGCAGCCAAAAATAAATACATAAAAAATTAAATGGAACTCACAGCTCTTAAAAAAAGAGAGAGAGTGGAACAGACATATTTTGTATATCTTCAACCTGGACACTACGTATCAATTCAAAGGAGTCAATCTGGCTGTCCCACCAGTGGTGAAGGTTCTACAGTGGGTAGGCTAGGTGAATACCTCCCAGACCCAGCTGCTTACACCTAATTCACCTGTTCAGCTTCCTTGCCTGTCTAACTTCTTCTATGTAACATACCAGAAAAAGCACAGGCGCTGGAGTCTGAAATGCCATTTATCAGCTACGGATCCTGGGAAAATTTATTGTACTCAGACTCTGCTCTCTTCATCTGCCGAGTGATCATAATACTATCTTCCTAGGAGTGTAGACTGTAGATTTGATGAAATCACGTGTGAAAATCCTTAGGGTGTAGCAGGAATTATAACTCCTATATACTTTCGACATTCTTGGTCATTTACCAGGGAAACAAAAGGTGACATATTCCCAAACAGGGGATTATTTCTCCTGCGAATCTTCACACTCCAAACTCTCTTCCCAACAGTGTGGATTGATTGAATGTCCTCTTTTTTGATCGCTGCCATGCAGGCAGACCTAGACAAGTGTCAAGGAGTGGGTGAATCATGTCTTTCATCATGTCTTTGTGTATATAAGGAATCCATAACAATTCTTCAGGTCCCCAGATTTTCATCCTTATCTGTAGAGTCTGGCCTAGCTCCCCACCTATCAGAGCTAGAACAGTGGTTAACTGACTGACAGAGACACACAGAGGAGACAGGACCTTAACCAAGGACGCCTAGACCACCCTGTTGGAGCCTGTGCAGAAAAGAGACTTGCAAAATCAAAGATCAGATTCTCCCGGGAGCCACAGTTGCTCCAGGCAAACAAGGCCCATCTTCAGGTGCAGAGCAGACCAGATAAGCCCTGCTGGCCTGCAGGGTGCAGGGCCCTCCCTTCTCTCAGAACTGTGTTTTGCCACATGATTTAGAGCCATTCAAATCCGCGGGCTCCAAACTCAGTGCGTCTCTTGCTGCTGAACATTAGTCCTTGGAGATGGTCTTGGTCTGCTCCCTCCCTGACCCTCCTTTTCTGACTCTCATTCACTGGCAACTGAATCCCTGCTCCCTTGGCTTTAGCAAAAACCTTGTCTGCTACGAGATGAAGAAAACAGAGGGAATCAGGCATGAATATTCTCAGTGTTCTGCCTCTCCTGACACTTGCCGCCTCCCTCCCACCCATGGTCCCCTAAAACTCTAAAGAGGGGAGGTTTTGCATGATGGAGGAGCAGTGGTGCGGCCAGCATCAGAGATGTCAGGTGCGCGAAGTACTGCCATTCATTCTTGATGGAATCAGCCCAAGATTGACAGGCACCCCTGCGCTAAACAGCTCTCCACATCCACCCTTCCCATCTCCCTGTATCCTTGGTCCCACTCCCTCCTGGTTGCTCTTCCATCTCAGCCCCTCTTGACAGCTTTACCTGAGAGGCCTGGGAGCCATCTCAAGTCTCTCCCATCCTAAGGGGAAAGTCCTCCTCCATCTTGTGATCCCCTCTAGCTAACATAAAATCCCTCTCCTCCCCTATTATGGGCTGACTTCTGTCCTCCCCAAAGTCACCTCTTCAAATTCTAACCTCCAGAACCTCTGATCGGGACTGTATTTGGAGATGGCCTTCAAATCTGTAGTTAAGTTAAAGCAAAGTCATTAAGGTGAGCCCTCATCCAACATAATTGGTGTTCTTATAAGACAGTGGAGTTAGGACGTAAATACACACAGAGGGAAGACCAAACCAACGGGAGAGGCCTCGGGAGAAACCAACTCCTTGATCTCAGCCTTCTAGCCGACAAAACTGTGACAAAAGAAATTTCTGCTGGTCAGGCCACCGGGTGGTATTTTGTCACGGCAGCCAGAGCATATGAATACATCCTGTTAGATGCTGGATTCTCCAAAAGGCAGACTCCTTTGCTCTCTACATCCTCAGCTCCCAGTGGTCCTGCCTCCCTGCAGTCTGGCTCTCCCTGCCCGCCCCCACTTCTGGACCTCTGCATTTGGCACAAGGGAATTTCAGCCCCCCGGGCACTCACAGTGCTCTCTGGTCCTGACCTGGCTTCCCTCTTCCCTCTGCCTCCTGAATGTTGAACACAAAACTCAGTCCTGAGTCTACTTCCCTTGACTCCTGCGAGTGATCTCATCCATGCTCCTGGGTTCAGCTATTCTGTAAAAGAGGTTTATTTTGCTCAGATTTGTAACTGGGGTTATACCAGCCCCTGGTGTAGCATGTTTGAGCACCTGGTCGACACCTCTTTGGATTTGTGTCCCCAAATCCACATTCCCTTCAGGCGATCCTAGTTGCTTACAGTGAGGGCTACAAGGCTCCATCACCCTTCCCGTGCCAAT